GTTGTATCAAATTTAAGGCCATAAAAAGTCTTAAATTGTACAAGAATTCAGAATTATTATTTCAAGAGGTCTGAAATTTGGGGACGGAAAGACCAGAATTGCAATATGGCTTAATGTGACAATTAAACTTCAAAAGGCTATGATTTCATTAAATAAACATGAGCGCTGCACGTTCAAAGTCCGGTGCTGCACTGCTTTGTTTACAGTACTACCGTTACCAGGGAAACATGCAGAGCTGTAAATGTGAACTGGTGGATCGATAGGAAGATAATGCATTATAAAAATCTAAACAGTAAAATGTATTTATAGGCTATGTTATTTAATTAATATAATTATTGATAATTGTTTAAATTAATATAATAATTAATACTTTCACTCGTCCATTTTCTTAAAAATGGTTTAAAGGCTGAAATGTGAAGTGTATCATTTTATAAAACTTCTTAAAAATTGTGCATATGACCACTGCTATTGGTTTACCGCTACCATTTCAGCCAAATATTAATTATAAATGTTAATTAGATATGTTCATTACCTGTCAAGCAATGTGTGTTTATGTTGAAATATACAAAAAAACGGTTTGTCTTTTCAAATCTTCTACCGCGTGTCATTATATTAATTGAGTTGGCATGTGTAGTTTGTTTCACACTTCAGTAATGTGACATTGCTCCCTAGATGATGCTCCCTAGAACTTGCGATGCATTGTGGAATTTTCCAGGGAGCGAACGTTCCAGTGCACTGGAAGGATTTCGCAATTGAGCCCTTAAAATGGCCGACTCCCTGATCAGTGCCCTGACTACTGAACAAGGGAGCTGATTTATACGCACCCACAGTCTTAGTGGCGATGCTGGGGCGTTACTATAAAATTGCTTGATTGTTGTTAAGATGTCGCAAGTCAGTTGGTATGGTGGTCTCAGTCTTGGATGGATGACTCTTATAGTGTTGTCAAAAGTACCGACTGCAATACCATTCGGTACTGAAATTTTAAAAACGTCCATTTCCCGCGAAGATTTGAGTGCAGTTGAGCAGATTCTTAAACAGCGCTGATTGGTCATTGTGTTCACACGCTGAACAGATACGTCTGTGTTTGGCTTCAATGATCATCGCTTCATGCTCTTCACCGAGTGCTCACACAGAAACACATGAGAGCGTTTAAAAGCCGCGTCAACAGTACTCAAATCTTCGCGGGAAATTGACGTTTTTAAAATTTCAGTACTGAATGGTATCGCGGTCGGTACTTTTGACAACACTAGACTCTTATGATCCGGTTCTTTCAGTTGAGCCAGTCAGAAGGATTCATGAAACAGTCTAAAACTTCACGAGTTAGGGTGTATTCACACCTGTCTTGTTTGGTTTGATTGAATCAAACTCAAGTTCGTTTCCCCCTTTGGTGTGGATCTTTTGTGGCTGGTGTGAATACAGCAGTCGCACTCTGGTGCGGACCAAACAACCGTACCAAGACCCAGCTGAAGAGGTGGTCTCGGTCCGGTTCCAAACAAACTCTGGTACGGTTGAATGGAAGAACCAATGAATGGATGACCTTAGCACTTATAGACCTTATGCATCAGAGAAACAGGTGTGCAGTGATCTTTAGAATGTCTTCGAACTTCCGTTTTTTGCAGTAGCTCTATAACATCACTGTTGAAGAGTAATTAGCTGGTGAAGTGGATTTACTAATTGTAGAATTCATGTGCATTGTAATTTTCGAAGTGGATGTCAAAACAAATGTCAGTAGACCAGGAAGATTTTAAAACGAGAGGTTCATTCATAAATTCGTACAAACTTACCTTCATGCTGTGGGAGTACAAACGGAAGACAGAAGACAATGAGCACAGCGCTGAAAAGGGGCGGGGCTACATAAGGTCTATACCAAATCATTTTGATGACAGATTTTGACTTTTTTGATATGCATTTACAAATGCAATAAATGTTTCCATCATAGTTTTTTCATATCTCTTCTTATTGGATGAACTCATTTGAGCACATAAATTTTTTTTTTTTGCACATTTTTAGAATTTATGTGCATCGTGGCATTTCCATCCAGCATTTTTTTTCTGCAATATCCCAATATTCGCATAATAATAGGTGGATGGAAACATAGTTAATGAGTTTAGAGTCTTACGCCCTGTTCACAGTAGTGCGTTTTCGTTTTAAAATGGCGTTTTAAAATGAAAATGAATCCTCGTCTACACTGGTGTTTTCACTGCGTTTCAGACTCAACTCAACTCAACTTTATTTATATAGCACCAATAAAAACAACGATTGTTGACCAAGGTGCTGTACAATCAATCAAATATCAACAACATTAACACTCAGAACAACATAAATTACAGCACAGAACAGAGCTAACACTGCAAAATTAACTACAGGTAAAAGCCAGAGAAAAAAGATGGGTTTTGAGTTTGGCTGTAAACTCATTCAGTGTAGAGGCAGTTCTAATAGAAACCGGTAGGCTGTTCCAGAGTTTTGGAGCAGCAACAGCAAAGACTTGGTCACCTCTCGATTTCAATTCTATAACGAATTGGGAGCCAATGCAAATATATTAATACTGGGGTAATGTGCTCTCATTTACACACACCAGTAAGGAGCCTAGCAGCAACATTTTGTACCATTTGAAGTCGATTACCCATAATAATACCCATATAAAGGGAATTACAGTACTCTGTAATTTCAGTAATTTTCAGTAATTGGTATACAGTTAGGGTTACATTTCAGAAACTATCTCTGTCTAACCTACACAACCGAAAATGCATGTCGCATGACCATTCATGCAGATACAACCATAGATGTCTATAGGTAGATTCCCTATTATTTAGATTGCGGACGCGTCTGCGTGCTTGGAGCGGTCGAATGAGGAATCTACCTATACATATCTATGGGTACAACAGAATGATGTTATTGTTTAGACAGTCGTCAAGGATACGCAGAGAGAATGTGGGCAGCCACGCCATCATTTTCAAAAGTCTCTGTTTTGGTCTGTTTACACTGAAACGCAACCCCGGAGTTTTCAAACTAAAACGGGGTCTGCAGCGTTTTCAAAAGTCTCCAGTTTCAAGGGTCGAAAACGCCGGAGTAGTGTAAACGACAGGCGTAACCGTAGCAAAAGTTATGTGTTTTAAAACTAAAATGCACTAGTGTAAACGGGGCCTTGGCTGGTCAGGTAATGGAGTTGCACTGGATGGTGCTGTCTGCTTGGCCTGGTCACAACGAGAGCGCAAATGTGAGTGCGCATGTAGACAAATGAGAAATTGCTGTGTTTAGTTTTGGGCAATTTCTAGTGCGTCTAGTCAGGGCAGTCTACAAAACACCCTCCCCTCGACCGCAGTCAGATGATCCCTAAAGCATCTTACTCAGACCTCAGTGGAAATGGACTAGCTGTGTATATTTGAAAAAGCACAAACTCGCCTACAACGGAGCGTATTTGTCCTGTGGAATTTAAATTCTTATTGAGAAACCTCAGGCTGGTGGATTTTAGTTTCATTTTCTATGCCTTTTTGACAAGGCTTGTGCTACAAGAGAAAAAAAGAAGCGCTCAGCACCCCCTACCCCCCTCCTCTTGCGCCCTGTAGCAGCTGTCAGTCATTTCCCCTGCTCCAGTGAGTGCCAGCTCTAGTTCATTACCTAAAGCCTCCACAAAGCCAGACCACCAGACTCCAGCACAAATAGATACGATAGGGCCAGGGACTCTGGAGTAGCTGCTATGTTATTTGTGTTGCATCAGAACATTCTACTTGAGAGTTCTTTCTACTTTTTGCCTCCAAGATACAGTATGTGTATTAATGCACCTCTTCCATGGACTAAGCTGAACTTTCTTTTAGCTTTGAGACGGGGGTCTAGGAACTACATTACAGTGAAGGCATCCATATTGCATAGCAGCAGTGCACAGTGTAACTGCGCCTCTAAGATATGCCCAACCTCTCCATTTGCTATTTTCCTCACTCGACTCTGCGTGCCTGCCGTTTGTTGAATGCTGTTAAATGTTTAATTTCCACCAGATACGGTTGCAGAGAGACACGCTCAAGGACAGGGGTCCAAATACATAAAAACACAGCCAGCTAAATCTCTACGTATTGCCCTTCGTTATCTGTGAGCAAGATTCGCTGTGGTGTGAAATTTAAGGAAATTATTTCACTCAAGTTCGGAGGGTGTTGAGGGACTATTAGGTCATGATGTAATTGCGTGAAATTTGTAAAGGTCTGTGTGTCCCACTTACAAATGAATTCAAGAACGCATGTCTTTGAGTGTAATGCTTAATGCTGCAGCCTGTACTTTAGATTCACTAAAACGTACACGTTTTTCAGAGCACGAATGCGTTTAAAGTCTGTATGCAATGCTGTTAGCCACCCAATATACTTATGTGATCTGATGTTTATGGGGCTTGATTTTAGCTATTTGGAAATGTTTGGATTGTGAAAAGTGGGTGTTACATAATAGAATGATGGAGGTGGATATTACAGTACATTTCGATTGAAAGATTATCAAGTTGATTAGAAAGATTATTGGAGTATGTTTTACAAGAAAATACTATTTCAGCCTTTCTAATAAAAAAAAAAAGTTTGTTTAATTATTTTTTTACTTGCTGTCTATTTGTAATTACTTGAAATGTATTAGCTATTTCTGAGTGAAAATAAATCTAAGAAAATCCCACACCATATATTTTTCCTCAATGTAGTAAATGTTAATTTCATGTTTATAATCTACTAATACATTTTTAAAATCAAATGTTGTATCTGTTCATATTATTTACTGGACCTGAGCTAACATGAACTAATATTGACTCTAACCGAGACTTGTCATTTGCACTTATATATTGTTGCTCATTTGTTAGTTTTGACTGCTTTTATTGTCCTCATTTGTAAGTCGCTTGGATAAAAGCATCTGCTTAATGACTAAATGTAAATGTAATGTAATGAATGTTGGCAGACCTCTGCAAATTTTGTGCATATTGTTATTGTTATCCATAGCTGGATATTAATGAATTATGGGGGATTCATGTTTCTCAGGAGGAGTTTGTGGTAAACCACATGGCTGCCAAAACCATAGAGAACATGTGCAGCCGTGAGTCTCAATACGCTCAGGGATTCATCACTGCAGAGGTGGGACCTGCACTCTGGTATCTGTTCACACACTCCACAGTGGATGCACTCAGGATCAGCGCTATATCTGTTAGTATTAAACACACACTCTCATGACTTTAACAGGGTGTTTCAACACAAAGTTCAACTCTGCGCACTGTTCAATTCAGTTTCAATTCGGAAAGATGATTACAAAAGTTGCAGTGCAAATCCAATGATCCAAGCAACAAAGATTTCCTTTTTCATCATCTTTTTTTTTTATTTTTCCCATTGAGCCAGTGACAATTCCATCAACTGTCCTGGGTGTATTTCAGGGCAGCTCTTATTGTCAGGCACAGACACTAGGTGATGCTATAATAAGGCCATTTATGTTTTCCTTCATGTCTTCACAACTGTACAGTCTAGAATTGAAATTCTTTTCCATTTAATTTTTGTCCAAGTGTTATGAAGATATAAGTCAATAAAATTTTGGAGAGGGGGTTGCCCATTCATTTTGACCAGTTGCCCTTCAGGACAGGAATTTGTGCAATTCTGCTCAATTGGGACAGTGTAATTAAAAACCTGTCATAAATTAACAAAACAATATTGAATCATTATTTGTGCTGCAAATATGGGCCAAAATATTGTTGGGTTTAGACTATAGTGACTAATTGGTCTATAACTTAGTTAAAATAGTTGCCATTGTAGTAAAATCACAGTAAATTTGGAAACATACATGGCAGTTATGCCATGTAATTGCCTACGTGAATTATTAGTTATTACACCCGTTGATTGTCACTTGCAGCTATATTCATGAATCTTGTTTTATAATGGCTTGGTACAAAAATGATCAACTTTTGGGCATGTGTTTTTTAAATCAATTATAGTTAATGATACTGTTATTAATTGTTTCCTTTTTTTAGCCTAATCTCTGCAGTGGTATTAAAGATCCTTAACCTTTTGATGACATATTTATGTTCCTCTATATAAATAAATATTAAATATTATGTAACAAAAAGCAGCAGTATTAAAGATTCTGTATTCAACCTACCTCCACCCACCTGTCTTACGTTTATCTGCCCTTCCAGGCTCTGTGTAAAACACCTTCCAGAGTGTGATTGACAAGGTGGGATTACCCAGCATCCTCAGAAGATCAAGCTTAGTTACTGTGGCAACTTATGCTGGGAAACTGACCTGGTCTAAAGCAGGCTGACTGTCAGGCTAAGCTGAGCTCCTTTAACACTGACCAATAGCAACACAATGATATTACCACTGTCTCACATGGTATTATTATTTTATTTTTTACAGTTTCTAGCCATGCAGCCTTTCTCTCTGGTTTTATGACAGCTGTACCTTTTATAGTTTGCAGAACAGATAGCAGAACATTGAACATTACAATCTAAAATTGCTCTTTAAAGCATTAAAATAACTAAATTAAAAGTTAAAATCACTGAATTAAAAATGAAAATAAATAATAAAGAAAATGACTATATTTTAACTGCTATAAGAAACACACATTAACTCATCTGAGCTTAGTAATTAGTCCTTTACTATAGCTTACATTTGATTTACCCATTACTATAGTCACTTTACAGTTACTGCTATCATAAAAATACACGTATATGTAGGTTTAAAATTCTACAAAAGACACATTTAATGTCCAACAACAAATATTTTAGCAAAATGCATATTTGACTTTTGATTTGAATTATTGCACTCTGTCTGTTTAGTGCGCATGCACACAGCAGCGCTCGTTCTCTCGCGGAAGCCTCGCCCACCCCTGACAGCAAAATGGATATATTTGCATGACTTTCTAACATTTACAGATGAAGAATATACCTGTGACATGTCAGATATGCACTGAGGAAAACACAACGTCTCAAATGCATTAAACAGCACAGATATATTCGCTGTTTGCCATGGTGGATCGATTTGATCCATGATCGACATTAAGGGCTGCTTAAAGGGTTAGTTCACCCCAAAATGAAAATCAGGCTGTGTTTTACTCACCCCCGATGCATCCTAGGTGTGCAACGCTGACCCCATACGTCATGCTCCCGGAACTGCTTCTGTGTACAACTGCTGGCGCAAGCTAGATTCAAGTGATTATTACGTTTTGAATATGGATATTTTTCTTACAAAAACGCATCGATTCGATTCAGGAGGCCTTTGTTCACTCCCCCGGAGCCGTGTGAGACACTTTTTTTTGTGGAAGGGTGCTTTTTATTTCACGTCTTTTGGACAGAAGGAATGCAACACCCGCTGACTACAACGATAGAGCTTGAAAGATCAAAGACAATTTTTAATATAACTCCGACTGGATTCGTCTGAAAGAAGAAAGTCATATACACCTAGGTTGTATCAAATTTAAGGCCTTAAAAAGTCTTAAATTGTACAAGAAAGTATTAATTATGATTTCAAGAGGTCTTAAATTTGGGGACAGAAAGACCAGAATTGCGATATGGATGAATGTGACAAGTGCTTTGTGTTCTGCCGTTACCAGGGAAACGGTTATATTTCTACCAAACGCTCCACCTGCTGGCAGAGAATGAATGAGCATTTTCAATAAAACTGTTGTTTTGTTCAGAGTTCAGACCAATGCAAAAATCGACCCATGTTTTTACCCTGCAAACACGCAGAGCTTTAAATGTGAACTGGTGGATCGATAAGAAGACAACGCATTATAAAAATCTAAACAGTATAGGGGTGTGCGATATGTATGGTCTGCGATACACATTTATAGTGCGTTCTTTCACTGCATTAATTAGTCTATTAAAATGCATTTAGAATTATCACATAATTCAAGATATGGGGCAGAAAATGTATATATTTATATAATATCATATAGTTAATATCACATGAAGAGTGCCGTTTTTTCTCCAAAAGTCAGCATGATTACAAATGTGATATTGATTTTATACAACAGTTCAATAAACAAGAAGTTAATATTTAGAGACTTACGTTTTAGACACCATATTTCCTGCCTTTGCTCTATTTCTCCAACAAAAATTATTTCAAACACAGCCACAGCACTGTTTTGCATCTCTGAGCAACACGACGGCGTTTTGTTCCTGAATGAATCGACCGTGTAAATGATTCGGTTCAATCGCAATGACTCACTTAACAGTGACTTGCTGCCACCTACTGGCAGTTTTAATTTCACATTTAAGGTACCTTTTCATTTTTAAAATAATTTCATACTTCAGTTTTCAATGTTTTATGTTTAAAATATCAAAACATTATTTATGCATTTGTAACGGCAGGTTAAAGTATTTAATGTCCCTCAGAGCTGCATTAAACAGTGTGCAAATGCATCTAAATGCCACTTCTAATGCAGCTTCTGTGTTTCCTCTGC